AAATTGTTCAAAGTCCAACACCATCATGCTCCACACAGGCTGTCCCACGAATTGTCTTTCTCTATTGAATAAATCTCGACAACTAACTCATCATCTCTAAATCATTGTTATTTAACAAGTCCTAAGTCATTCGCCCTTTTTCATGGTTTTACTCCCTTTCTCAGAAACTGCACCCTTCTACATACCTGCTGTCTTACACATCCCCATCTCTTCAATCACAATTATATAACCACGATGATTCAAGCACCACAAAAACTCGCATTTACTTCTTGGACATTGATCTTTAAGATGTGTAATGATTATAATGATGAAATTGACAGTGGTAACAACATATATACATAATTCAAGGCTCGCAGAATCGCCACCAAAATATCTGCGTCGAGTAACCAAAAATTAATAGGGTGCGTCCCGACGTGCAACCTCTTTAAAATCTCCGAAAAAGTACACCAAAGATAGGCCTCATAGCGACTGTGAAAGATGTCGAAAAATAGTCATGTATGGGACTTGGGACTAAAACCACAGACGTACGACCGCCAAGTACTCAATACAGCAATACATGTGTTTGTGTAGGCCCTACAGTCGGCCGTATGAGGATCGTTGGTATAAGTTTCCCACATGGGTGATAAGCGGCGACATCCTTTGAACGTTAACACTCTACTAGCATCCACAAAACTCGTTTTTGTTTATATATTGTTAACAAAAATATAAACCTTGTCGTTTTGCAAAAGGTGAGGTCACAGAGGGCTTTGTAAACACATAAACTAGTAGTAAAATGACTTGCAGAAAGCTGATATTTTGCATGAAGGTGCTGTATGATGTGAAGTTGAACCGCTGGTAATATCTTGCGTTTATGATGAATAATAAAGATGTAGGAGATAAAACGAATCAAAAAATATTTGTCAAACATGATTGCTTGAGGTTATATGCTAAAATTTCTCATGAATAAGGTCATCCTTGGCTTGTTTGTGTCGATGACGTCGGCCGTTACTTGCGACGACAGTGATCGAAGTTTAACCACCTAAATAAGCCTATATTTGAGCATTTCCAGTATTCATTACCGCATTTTCCATAGTAATAGGTCGGAAGAAAATTTAGATTTGGTGGTCAACTTATACGCCAAGTGAATGCTTACGGAATCAAATTTAGCCCCCCAAAACGGCGGCGACAATCATCGGAGTTCCTCCATGTTAGTTGGACCAAGGCCCTACACTATTATGCTGTACCACCAGTCCAGCCTAGGGGCTTAGGCCTATAGCTAAATTTGGCCCAACAGTTAGCATGTACAGAATGTAAAAATAATACAACTAACAAATACAGTAAATGGAATATTTCTAACTATATAATTCATAATTTAAAGACCGTTACAACAACTTCTCCAGCTGTCACTCGATGTTTGTTTCCTTCTATGGAAGACAATCACCACCAAAAATACAATTTTAGACAATAAACGTGCTTTCTCAAACAAACAACGTACATTTACAAATAAACAATGTATTTTTAAAAATAAACATATTTTACAAACAAACAACGTATATTGCCAAACGATATATTTTCTCAAACGAAGAACGTTCCATGCCAAACAAACAATGGACATTGCCAAACGAACAACGTACTTTCCCAAACGATGTAAAATGCCAAATGAACAACGGAATCGTCCATTATTTCAAAGGGGTAATTGTAATTTTATAGCGCGCATCACACGCTCAAAAAGATAACGCCCTCATCATATCAAGTTCTTAGACTCTCTTACACAGAACTGAAAGGTGGTAGCTGGTTTCCAACAAGCAATACCTGCATTATTGAGGATATTTCCCGCACGATTAAAATCGCAACGGTACTGGGTTTGGTCTACAGGAACTCGTGTTTCGTGCAGGTCATTCCATTCATAGAAAAAGCCTTTAATGGTGAAAGCGTACCTGTCATTAGCCATAGTAGCCTAGGTCAATACATAACACCGGCTGTATAAAATTTATTATAAGATTGAAAATGTTAATCTTATTATTGTAGTAGTGATACACTATGTACAAGATTCAGTTATTGTTATTTGTTCGTTAACATTATTATATTTATAAATTTAATGTATTGTTTAAGTATGAATTACTGTACTATGTCCACGTTAAATTAATCTTATCTATTAAAATTGTACAGTATATTTAAATAATATAGTAATAGGCAAAGCTGAGGTCTAGCCTAGACTAGGCCTAAACAAATGAGTGTGAGTGTATAAAATTAGGAAAAATATGAAAAAAAACGCAAAATTGTGAAAGGATAAAGGAAGAAGGAAGAACAGGAAAGAGATCTGGAGCGGCTTAGATTAGTGCCCAAAATTGTTTACAAAAATGTAATGCAATAATAGCATATTGACTACTATTGTATATTTTGGGAAAATATTTCAGCCGCTCCAAAAAAATGTTATACATCCCCGGTGTTATGTATTGACCTAGGCTACTATGGCTAATGACAGGTACGCTTTCACCATTAAACGTTTTTTCTATGAATGAAATGACCTGTACGAAACACGAGCTCCTAGCCTGTAGACCAAACCCAGTACTTGCGATTTTAATCGTGCGGGAAAATATCCTCAAGATGACCTAACTACATTTCGTAAACTTGTCTCCAATATTTGTACGATTTTTTCAGAGCAAGTTTATACTCTGGAAATAGCCTTAATAATGACAAAAAAAAGTAAACAGTTTTTCATTAGTTTAATGATTAGGCTATAAAAATTGTAATAAATGGAGCCCTGTAGCGTGTGAAGTTATCTAATGAGTTTTTCAGTGATTAATTATTGATACATAGAAGGGTGAATGCTATGTTGTATACAAACAGCATTAAACAGGAGCCAATAATATAATACTTTTTGAAAAATTTTATTTTATTTTATTTGGTTTAATATTTGGAATATTCATGAACCAGGCCTTCATGAATTAACAACTAAACGTTATTATTATATTAAGTATCAAATCAGTAATATTAAGTCAGTAAAAAATTGCCCTAGGGCATTAGACGTGTACCGATATGTTGCCCTGTAACAAATTGCTGATCTGAAGGGTGCTATACATAAACTACTAATGTCAGTTCAGTATAACATGACATTTAGAATAATGATTATTCAGGGTTCAACAACAACACAACATTTTATTCAATGTAATTGATAAATTCTCTTGACCTGTTGCACAAACATTAGCTTCTATAATTTCTAATACTTTTTTTTTTATAACAATACCACTTATACAGTGATAATGGCATCTTTAAAGTAATAAAACACAAGAAACATGTTTTTATGTAGAATTTATACTTTTCTGTCTACTCCTGTCCGAAGTGATAGCAAAGGAATGCCATATCAAAGGCCGCAAACAACTCTGCATCATCGGGCAAATTACCCGTAATAAGTGTTATTCTGTTAATGCAGGTATTGCTTGTTGAAAACCAGCTACCACCTTTCAGTTCTGTGTAAGAGATTCTAAGAACTTGATAACTGATGATGAGGGCGTTATCTCGTTCAGCGTGTGATGCGCGCTATAAAATTACAATTACCCCGTTGAAATAATGGACGATTTACGTTGTTCGTTTGGCAATGTACATTGTTTGGCATGGAACGTTCTTCGTTTGAGAAAATACATCGTTTGGCAATATACGTTGTTTGTTTTAAAAAGAACGTTCTTTGTTTGTAAAAGTATGTTGTTTATTTTTAAAAATACATTGTTTATTTGTAAATGTACGTTGTTTGTTTGAGAAAGCACGTTTACCGTATTGTCTAAAATTGTATTTTTGGCGGTGATTGCCTTCCATATACTTCTCAAACGGCTCTCTGCTGGAGCCTTACGTACGAAACTTGTTATGCATGCAGTACGAAATGACGGGACAAGTATAGTACAGTACAATTATTTCATTTAAATCACGCAAATAACAATCTGGAAATAAATCAAACCTTGAAATGTAATATTTTTATAATGAAAAAGTTGCTAATATTAACAAGGAAGCAAGCAAACGTTTAGAGGTACAGTTAGGCCTAGTGGTGCCAAATTGGCAGACCAGCCTAATTTCTATACCCTTATTAATGAACAGTACTGTGGCATTAGCGCGAACTTTCGTACCAAAAACAACACTCACTAGGCCTAATTAACAGTGGTGGCGCCAGGACCTGCCCGATGGAGGGGGCTAAAGGCCCCGACGAGGGAGGGGGGCTAGTGGAGCGAATCGAGTCTTACTTGGCTGGGGGCCAGGGGCCGCCTAGAGCCCCGGTGGGGGTCCAGGGGGCTTCGCCTCCTGGAAGCCACGGATATTTGATGAATTATGGCGAATTTTTATTACTTATTTGACAGGCATCGAGTTACTATATGACTTCATGTAGGCTATGCTTTCTAATGTTGAAATCAGCTTCTCAAAACCAAAACATTTTGAATAAAGCAAGAAACAAAGAGTACCGGTATGCA